TGGAGGGCCAACAATAGGGCACAGAGGCTGAGAAGAACATAAGAAGAGCCATGTTGGATCAGACCAGTGGTCCATCTAGTCCAGCATCCTGTCTCACACAGTGGCCAACCTGTTCCTCTGGAGGGCCAACAACAGGGCACAGAGGCTGAGGCCTTCCCCTGATAAGAACATCAGAAGAGCCCTGCTGGATCAGACCAGTGGTCCATCTAGTCCAACATCCTGTCTCACACAGTGGCCAACCTGTTCCTCTGGAGGGCCAACAACAGGGCACAGAGGCTGAGGCCTTCCTCTGATAAGAACATAAGAAGAGCCGTGCTGGATCAGACCAGTGGTCCCTCTAGTCCAGCATCCTGTCTCACACAGTGGCCAACCAGTTCCTCTGGACAATCAACAACAGGGCATAGAGGCTGAGGCCTCCTGGCTCCAGGATTCAGAGGTTGAGTGCCTCTGAATGTGGAGGTTCCTCTCAGGCACCATGGCTGTTTTGGAGGCCCCATCTGGAAAAAGGAGCCACCCGCCTAGCAAGGTAGACTGGCTGTACCCTCTTCTTGAATGGTGATATAAAAGGTAATGGCTGTATGAATATTAATAAATGTTATCAATAATCATAATTATGCTGTTATGTGTTTGAGAGGTTTTTATTCTACCTCTTGGCATCCTGCTCCTGAACCTTATTTATTTATTACAATTCTGTAGGGCCTGCAAGACGGAGCTCTTCCGCCAGGTTTTTGTTTGAGGAAGTGGGCGTCCCCCCTCCTTAGGTCAGCCCCCAACTGTAGCCTGGGTCCTGAGATCCTAAATCTTAAAGACCTCAAAAAATTCTAATACCATCAACCACCGAGGTATCTGTTTTTTACTAGAGTTGTATGGCACATATGTTATTTTATATTGTGTTTTTTAATGTGGTTTTAATTGCATTGTACCTTATACTGTTGGAACCTGCCCTGAGCCCATTAAGGGGAGGGCGGGATATAAATCCAAATAAATAAAATGAAAATAAAATAAACTGGTTGGCAGGATTTAAAATGTGACAAATGGTGTGTGTCTGCGAGAAAAGAAAGAAAAGAAGAACCTAGCAGCCTAAAAACAACCCCAAACTGGAATTAAAAGCCTGTCTTCCTCACATCTACTACCCCATAAAATTCCTGGTTGTTAATCGAGTCAGTTGAAAATAATTCAGACCACTATTTGTTTTGGTTTGGTTTTTAATAATCTAATTCCCCAGCAGAGCATAGTGCACTGGAGGGGTCCCCAAAATAACGCCCATGGTCAGTGTGGGGCCCACCAACACCTTTCCTGGCAAACGTCAAAAAAGTGGGCATGAGCCAGGTGTAGCTTCTGCCCAGCAAGTTATCTGATTGGCCACTGGAAATCTGCTGGAGAGTTAGGACGATCGTGATGAACAAAGCATGAGTCCAGCAGCACCTTTAAGACCAACAAAAGTTTTATTCATGGTATAAGCTTCTGTGTGCATCATGCACACTTATATCTTTTTTTTTTTGTAAAAAAAATTTTTATTCAGGATATAAACATTCACAACCAGCATTAAATTTTCTACTTTTGTCCCCGTTATACCCTACCCTCCTCCCTTTTCCCCTCCCTATTATACGGCTTCCCACAGTGTTACGACCTCCTACATATTCCCTTCTTTTTACCAATATATCAATTTCCTTTTTGTATATCACTAGGTAACTGTTATTTCACTATATCAATTAATTTTTAACTTATCTTATCTTCAGAAAATTATATGCTTAATAATTATTAAAACAAAACAGATTGTCTTTTACTTCCCAATACTTTCCCAAGTATTCTTTTAGATCCTTCCAGTCATTATAAAAGTCTTCTGCTTCCATATTGTTCAATTTTCTTGTCAGCTTATCCATTTCAACTGAGAATATTAATTTTTTAATCCAATCTTCAATCTAAACTGGCAGAGACTGAGCAAGAGAGAGATCTTGGAGTTGTAGTGGATAACTCACTGAAAATGTCGAGACAGTGTGTGACTGCAATAAAGATAGCCAATGCTATGCTGGGGATTATTAGGAAGAGTATTGAAAACAGATCAGCCAATATCATAATGCCCCTATATAAATCAATGGTGAGACCTCATTTGGAATACTGTGTGCAGTTCTGGGCACCACACCTTAAAAAGGATATTATAGCTTTGGAAAAAGTGCAGAAAAGGGCAACTCGAATGATAAAAGGGTTGGAACACTTTCCCTATGAGGAAAGGTTAAAGCGCTTAGGGCTCTTTAGCTTGGAGAAAAGACGACTGAGGGGTGACATGATCGAGGTTTATAAGATTATGCATGGGAAAGAGCAGGTAAAGAAAGAGGTACTTTTCTCCCTTTCTCACAATACAAGAACTCGTGGGCACTCCATGAAACTGCAGAGCGGTCGGGTTAGAACGGATAAAAGGAAGTACTTCTTCACCCAAAGAGTGATTAACACATGGAATTCACTGCCACAGGAAGTGGTGGGTGCTACAAGCATGGACGGCTTCAAAAGGGAATTAGATGAGCATATGGAGCAGAGGTCCATCAGTGGCTATTAGCCACAAGGTATAGCTAGGGGCTCTGGGGCAAGTGATGGTCTGTCTTCTTGGTGCTTGGGGGGGGTCAACAGTGGGAGAGCTTCTAATGTCCTGGCCCCACTGCTGGACCTCCTGATGGCACCTGGTATTTCTGGCCACTGTGTGACACAGAGTGTTGGACTGGATGGGCCTTTGGCCTGATCCAACATTGGCGTCTCTTATGTTCTTATGTTCTTAATCCTCGGGACTTCTTCCTGTTTCCAACTTTAAGCATATGTCATATGCACACTTATATCTTGAATCAAACTCTGTTGGGCTTAAAGGTGCCGCTGGACTCAAACTTTGTTCTTCTGCTTTTGCTGCTTCAGACCAACCTGGCTACTCTCAAAAAGGCCAAGGACCCCTGGTGTAGTGGAACAAAGTTTGAATCCAGCCGCACCTTTATAGTTTATCTCCAGATGACCAAGATCAGTTCCCCTGAAGGGAATGGCTGCTGTGCGGAGTGGACTCTATGGGATTCTACCCTGCCGAGGTTCCTCCTCTCCCAGGATCCACCCCCCCCCAAGCACCAGGTATTTCTCAACCTAGACCTGGCAGCCAGTTTGGTATAGTGGTTCAGTGCGCGGACACTAATCTGGGAGAACCGGGTTTGATTCCCCACACCTCCACTTGCAGCTGCTGGATGACCTTGGGCAAGCCATAGTTCTGCCAGAGCTGTTCT